TTCTACAACCCTTACATAACGCACTCCTCGTCCTTGCGAATCAGGCAGGTAATTATAAATACAATACTTTAACAATAATATATATTATACACTGCTAATATTAGATTTACTCTCAAATAAACCATAAACATTTAAAAGTTTAAATATATAACCTATAATTAGCTGAATGAGTTATAATTATAGTTTATAATAAAATTTTAAGAAGCCAAGTCGAGTAAAATAACGAAAAAAATCCATCTGCAGTAGTAATAATAATGATAATAATAATAAGACATTATATACACGCTATTGTTTAAATGTAGGGATACTAACAATCAACAAATTATTATAATATGCAGTAACCACCTCCGATAAACTCTCCGAATTTTGGTAGGTACCCACGAATTAAGTTAATTTGTTTTTTTTATATTTGTTTTAAAATATTTTCGTAAAGTTCGAATTTAACCGTCACGAGGCGTGTTGCGGTTAACGGTATTAACCAATATAATTATAGCAGTAGCAGTAGCCAGTAGTAGTAGGTATAGTAGAAATAGTTTTACAGTTTGAAGAAGTTATGGTATAGTAGTAGTAGACAGTATAGTAAACATTAGTAACTATAGTAGTAATTAGTAGTAGTAATTAGTAATGGTAGTCGTCTGGATTAGAGATATATAATTATGTATTTAACTGTGGTATTTGAGTATACCTATTGTACAATGCAGTCGTAGTTAGGCATAATATGCGAATATAATTATTATGACATTCCTACACACACCCTGTACAACAGTAGTAGTGGTAGTTTTTATTGTTTTTCGTTTGATGTTGTGTTTTTATTTTTCAAATTTTCAATATTTTCGTTTCTTATGATATCGAACACGAGTTGCGCTTCGATCTCCCGCCACCTCCACCTCCACCACCTCCACCACCGCCGCCGCCGCTGTCGTCTTTGCCGCTCGCCTTTTTCTGGAGGTGCGCAAGTTGCGCCGGCGTGGGCACCATCGACCCCTGGCCCGAACCGCCGCCGGACGGCAACGACTGTCTTCGCGCCGAGTTCCGCCGCAACGACGGGCCCAGGTCGTACTTGATCTTCGCCTGATTCAATAGTTCCTTGAATACGTCGCCCACGTGTATGTTGTCCTTTGCGGACGTCTCCACGAAACCGTTTTCCCAGTCCACTTCTACCAGGCACGACGTCTCCTCGTACGGCACCTGTCGACAAAATAACGCGTCAACGTGTTGTCATATATTACAATATTATCATACCCGGTGGGGTTCGACGATAATGCATATTATTTTATTTAATTATTCAGGGCTCGGATTCAAGCGCCTTTTCAAAAAATATATTTATAACCTAAACGTGTGCTTAAAACGTCGTTAGTATATTTAGTGTGTACTAGAAACACCAAACACATTTGTAATAATAAATATGTAATTATAGTTTATACTTTTTGTCTTTTGAAGTAACGAATGGTTCGTGATAAATGAATCACCTGGTAAAAACATTAGGCATTTTAAGATAATACCTGAGATTTACTTATAAACTTTGGGGTGAACGAGGTGCACGCGAATGACAGCTTTTTATTTTTTCGTAATATTCGCCTGTTGTATTAAAAAATATATAATTATAGTTTATACTTTATACTACTGTAGAACTTTTGGTGTTATATTAAAAGAAAACATTTAAGTATCTAACTAGGTACCTGGTATATTACAATAATATTGTTATTTGTTGCAATTGTATAAATTATTAATGCACCTAATTAAAATTGAATTTAAGTACTGCAACAGGTGTCACATTTTAATCATCCATGTCCACGTATATTCGAATACAAAATGACGCAACTACGTCAAAAGCCTATATAGGTATGTAAATAAGCTGAAATAGCAATGCAAATGTACAAATGCAAATGTATCATAAAAGTTAATGTGCTATATGTATGGCTATATGTATCTACATTACTATAAAATATAACTATATGATGATCGATGTTATACCTATGTTACATATACTACCTACAGGCTATATTATGACTATTTGCGTACATAATTTATTTGATATTCTGTGTAAAGAGCAACAGGTTAATCTGTCTATTGAATAATGTATTTATATCAACTTGTTGCATTGTCTTCTCAGGTCACCAAGTCACATAATACTACCTATCATCGGTCGGTTATGATTTCGTAGATTACCCGCTAGTTATCAGTAATGTTAAATGTATACAACTTTACTGTTACGGATCTGAAAGTGTGAATATATTTTTTTTCATAAAAATAAATGTTCCCTCATATATAC